AAAATCACTTTTAACCTTTAAATCTAATGTTGCAACATCTTTATAGGAAAAGAGAAACTTGGAATTATTTTTCTTGGTTTCTACCTATGATCTACTAAGGAAAAAAGGAAACTCAGATGAGAGAAAATGATTATTAATGATACTAAGAAAGATTGGTAAAATGAAAATGCCACACCAGCTTAAACTATTAATTAAAAACAGAAGTCTAGATAGATCTATTTTCTTAAGTAATGTAATTTTGAATCATTACTCTTTAGCCTGAAGTCTCTAATTTTACATGCAGACTTGTCACAGTGACACAATGAGTTCTACTGGACATGTTCTAGAATCAAGACATTAGATCAATTCTGGTTTTTGAAATATTTCTTTCTGGAGCCTTTTCTTACTCAACTATCTAAGGAAGCCATTCAGTATTCCACAGAACTCATAAGTGTGCACTTCTCTTTTCTAGTACATTTTCTGCTTAAGTCAATCAGAATTTTGCTTACAATTATATAACTTACAAAAAAAGACAATACAATCAGTGAATTGCTTTAGAGTTTTCACCTACATTTATAGTCTACAGTAATGGTAATTGATAGGTTGGAATTTCAAAGAGGAATTTTTAATTCACTTCAGAGTTTCCATGGTGAATGATTTGTTGATTGGCTGTTCAGGGACAAATATGTGAAATTTTGGTTTAGTTCAAGACTTTTCAGAAGAAACTTACTATTTAGCCCTTGATATTGAAATATTTTACAAAATGTATTAGTCCATTTGGGTTCCATATAGTCCAGTCATTCTATTCAAGATAAAAGGAACTGGCAGGAGTTTATTGTCACGAATATTATTCATTGTAGTAGAATAAGGAACAGAGGGGAATGGAAGAGACATACTCCAGGACATATTCTAAAAACTACTACTTACAATATATTTTTGGTTATTATTCTTTTTGTCCTGATCTCCCATTCTTGTGAACACAGAGTAAGGAGAAAAGGTTTTAAATTCAGGTTTATTGGGGCCAGCAGGTGGTGTGGAGGTTAAGGTGCTGGATCCCATGTGGCTGACTGAGCAGTTCGAGTTTCGGACTCAGCAGCTTGAAAATCACACAGTGTGTGTGTGTACATATGTCCAAAATCTTGAGAGGAGAATGGAGGAGAAGAGACTATGGCATGGCCATCTCCTCTGCGGTGGTGGGGGGCGGATTTCTCACTTTCTCTCACTTCCTTTTTCTCTCTGGCGATTGACACATCCTATAGCAAAAACTTTAAAAAAAAAAAAAAGTCAGGTTTATTGTTAGTTTGACTCTAAGACACCTGAGATTTTTATGCATGGTGCTTCATGCTATTTTTTTCATTAACCTAACTTCGTGAAAATTATTTTTTGTAAAAATTAATTTTTTTCTTACTGTAAAAATATACACTTAAGAAAGTGAAACAATACATAAAAACTTAAAACAAAACAAAATACCATGAAGTGATAACTTTTGTCTAGCATTCTTGTAAACAGACATCCTTACATACACAATCTGGCTTTATAAACTTACGGGGATCATGCCTCACAAACACGTAGCTTATGTAATATACCCCCAGCACACAATACTATCAGGATGTCTTACATAATCATTTTTAATGCTTCTACCGTGTGCTATTATCTACTTAATCCAACCTTTACTAGAGAGGTGGGATGTTTCCAAATTGTATTATAAAATACTGCTACAGACCCAGCCACAGTGGCGCAGGAAGGAGGGTGCTGCTGCATGATACTGGAGCCATATGGCAGGGCCTAGTTTTAGTTCCCTGGTGATCTGGTTCTGATATGATGATGCTTGTGGGTGTGCCCATAACCCTGGCCCTCTAGAAGGGTGAAGAGGGTTGAGGAGTTTGTGGCGTGATGAGACCCTGTTGAGGTCCCTATCTCTTTCATGGGAAAAAAAAAATACTGCTAAAACAAACAAACAAACAAACAAACAAAAACTTTGCATATACATCTTTGTATAATCATTTAATCTTATTCTTAGGATCAATTCCAGGATGTATGGACTGTGTTTTAAATTACATGCCTATTCAGGCACAATTCCTATGAATAGATATTTTGAACGTTTTCTCATTTCAGAGAACTGTACTGATTGTTATGCTGAGCTAAGATTTAAATCATCAAGAGACCAAATGATTGTAACTATTTAAAACTGTGTATAACATCTGAAGAAGCAGAAAGCCTACTGTCCCAAACGAGAATATTTCTATCACGTGTGAGCCAGCAGGGCTTTGGCAAAAAGCTCCCATAGTATCTTAATGAATACAAGTGGTCAGGGTTGTGGTTTCGCATTTCATCAAGGGAATGCCCACGGACAGGGATGGGATGTCAGATGGCAACAAGACTTTCCCATTCAGCACTCTGTTTACCTCCAGCAGCTGGCTCAGGCACTATCCAGCGGATCCACCTATCTCTCACAGTCATTCACCCTTCCGACATCCTGCACGGAGCACCATCTCTCCTCAGAGGCAGTCCTTGCCAGGAAGCACACAGTGTGGCTGGTGATGAATGCAAGACTGAGTGTGTTCATGGTGGAAAATTCTATCTGAACAACTCAGGAAAGGCTCAGGCAGGGGATGCTGGAATGGTTGCTAGGGGCTGGGGGTGAATGGGTAGGTTATTTTAGACAGAGGAATCTGGCTTAGTATCTTGAAGCCTGATGTTAACACTGTACCACCATGGCTGGCCCAAGAGTTCTTTCTTTCCTTTTCTTTCTTTCTTTTTTTTAATTTCAAGAGAAAATAACAGCATCTAGACTATTATATATTTCGGCCAACTGAATAATCTAACAGTGATTATTCAAGTCTGCTCAAGTGATCTAGAAATGATGCAGAGAGGTGCCTCGTGAGAAGAAAGAGCTAATAAAATGTTTTAATTTGTTGGACAATAAGACAATGAATATGTAGACTGCAGTCATAACAAACTAAATAGCCTCCTAGTAAACTTTTCCCAAGGTAATGAGAAAATCATTATTTTTAATGAGGAACAACTTATAAAACCATAAATGGGGAGAAATCATATGGCTTGAAGAAAACCGCCACCACTACAAAATCCAACATTAACACAAAGGTTTTTTTCCTCTATTTTCAAGGGGTGGATGAAAACATTGTAAGAGATACTATTTTGTGGATCTGTTTTTCTGAGAGAAAATATCCCCAGTTACACACTTTAATGTGAAACACATGTGTAATAAATGTCAAGGTATTAACAACATAGTTTAAAAATAAAAAACAAACAAGATATTGACTGTCATTTACCACTATTTCCTACATTCGGAACAGTGCCTGAAAAGCAGATGCTAAAATATAATGTTTTTTGAGAAAAAGGGAAAGAATAGAAGGAAAATGAGAGAAGGGAAAAATAAAAACACTTCTGACATTAGCAAAAAATTTTTTTAAAGCTCTTAGCTTTGGGACAAGCAGATGGTATAATGGTTACATTGCTGGACTATCACGTAGTTGACCATGGTTTGAGTCCCAGATCTGGTGTCATGGAACTCACATCAGGCATGTGTGTGTGCAAGTCCAATAATCTGGGAGGAGAATGGAGGAGGAATGATTGTGGCATGGCCACCCCTCTCCCCCCGGGAGGTGATTTCTCACTTTCTATCTCTATCTCTCTGGCGAGCACGTGGGCTCTATAGCAAAAACCTCTCTAAAAAAATACTTAGTTTTTTCTTTCTTTTAAAATATGCTAGAGGGCATATACATTCCCGAGAGAGAGAGAGAGAAACACCAACCTTGGGGGATGGTCATGCCACAATCCCTTCTCCCCCATTTCTCCCTTGCTTCAAGATTTGGGGCATACATGTACCTGGAGAGGTTTTCAAGCAACCAGTTCTGGGACTTGAACCATGAAGTCAGCCATGTGGCATCTAGCTGCCTTAACTACCATGCCACAAGCTGGCTTAGCTTTTTCTAGTCACAGGAATAGCATTCAATATAAAATACATACATTGCTAAATGGTATTTAAGAAATCAGAAACAAAGGGAACATTCCTATTAAGTTATAGAACCACCCATTTGGAAGATGACTCTTGAATTTCATTCTAAATTCTCTTCATCTTAATGTTATGTATCACCACTTTCACTGAGAAGTGTTCCAATGTTTGCTGTAGAATAAATCCCTAAAACAGTAGAGGGAAATCCAAGGCAAACTTTGATTATATAACGCTGAATGAGGTTATAATCACTTACTATTGTTTGAGGCATTTCTTTCTCAGTTGCCTGATGTTTACAAAACTACCTTCTGTTGACTGAAATTGAGACACTTATGTATAAAATGCTCAACCAAGATTTAATGTGAAGTGTATCTTTCCTTTCTCTCCTTCCCTTCAAACAGAGTCTTGCTATGCTGCCCCAACTGGCCTTAAACCCAGGATGATCCTGCCTTAGCCTCCCAAGTAGCTGGGATTACAGTCCCACCCGCACATTCATGAAGTATGTTCTTATGTGACAGCGGGAAAGCACCAGAGATTTATTGAGCATTTCTGAAACATTTTACATTAACTATTTCCAGAAATCCCCCCCACCCCCAAAATCACTTTGAACAATGAATTATTATTGTCTCCATTTTACAGAAAAAGGAGAGAGTAACTGAGGTTAGTAAGTCCAAGGCTGCACAGTTAGTAAGAAATGCAGGTGAGATGCACACACAGGAGATCCAACTGTAGAGCTGGCTCCGATCAGCAAGATAAACTATGATTATCAGTGATAGTATTTGGTAATAATAATCATTGATGATGGTACTCCTAATAAATCACTATATGCACACAGTTGCTGAAACAGTTTCATACATATTTAATCTCTGTAAGTGATAACAAATCTTGGTTGTACCTCTCCTGCCAAGGGCAAGATACCTGTGTTTCATGGCAAAGTATTACAATAAATCACTACATGTGGAAATTCTGTCAGTAACCGAGGGCGCTGGCTTGCTTTCATGCTCTCTCTTTCTCTCTCTCTCTCTCTCCCTCTACTATATTGCAGATAACCCTGCCAGGAAAGAAAACACTCTCACCAACTCCTCCAGCCCTCTGGGATTCGAGTGAGGCAAAACGAGGACCTTTCTTTGTTGCAGTCACTATGGGACATGTCTGCAGTGGTCACTTCCAGAAGAAGAGGAGACACTAGATTTTGCATGTTTAAAATGTGAAAGGGAGGAACGGAGGGAGGGAATCACTAGGGTTTAGAGTACCATGGTAACTAACTGACCTTGACCAAGTAGTTCCGCTTCTATGAACATGAGAATTTCCTTTTCACAGACTTACAGGGATCAGAGGTGATAATGTATGTAAAAGTCTTTTATAAATAATAAATCAATGCACACCTTTTAAGATCTCAAAACTTTTATTTTTTCACTCTTCCTCTCATTGGTGTCTGTCCTTAGATGTTCCTCTCAAATCGCTGCGTACTGTCCCTTTGCCTAGTGAATAAATCCGCTCTGATATCATTTTTATTCTCACTTTATTTACCTAATTATATCACTGCATATACCTTTTATTTTACCCTCAGGGCAAAGACACCTTCCCTCTTTCCCAGTGCTGTTCCAACAGATTAGCATTATTAAAATTGTCTGTTACACTTAAGTCTTACTGAGGTAGAAATACCATAAACATGAAGTCTTCGGGGAGACGAGTATGCGAGCTTCCCAGAACCTGGATTCGCGTTAGAAGTCTATTATGGAGATAGATGGCACTGAGCACCTTACATAACTGTTCCTACCAAACGGGAGCCTGGCGTGACATCTGACAGAGACTTGCTCCTAAAAGAGTTTGTTTAAATTTTTTATCAGCCTGCCTTTATGAAAAATGGAAAGAGAATATTCTGCAAGTGAGGAAACAGTTTGCTAAAAAGAAAATTAGAATTTACAATTACCTCTTAAACCGCCTTTACAGGACTCCAGGCTTTCTATGCTTCCAAGATCCAGCAAGGATTTGGCTTTGAAATTAGGGAGAGAAAGAAATGAATTCTTGCCCTAGCCTGAGAAGGAGGCTTTCACTTTTACATGCTTTAGATGGCAATTTCCTATTATTAAAAGCCTTTGTCCTTCAGGCGATGGAGAAAAATGTGCTCAGATGACAATGGGTGCCTTGCCTCTGGAGGGATCACTCCCACACTGCACAAATGCCTTTTGTTTTCCTCCTCAAGGTGATTAGGCTGGGAGGTGATGGAAGCAGAACTAAAGGAGAATCACCAAGCTGGGAGCCCATTCATCCCCTCTGCTGCACTGCAGATCTTTCCGACCCAACTCCCGTGTCCTTGGTGACATTTGCGTACAGAGGGCGAGCTTTCCCTTTAAAACGCATGCTGCAATCCAAAGAGCAGATGAGGATAGCCATTTTTTTTTAATGAAATATTTTGATTCTGTCACTCTCTAAATACGAAAATGTTTCTGTCCAGGGTATTTGGGTGTTTATGGGAACGAGGGGAGCCCTGTACTTCGGATGGTGGGAGCCTACTGTGAATGCAGATGGAAATGTTATGGCTTGTCTACTAATGCTTGTCTATTTTAATAAAGAGAACACATTCCAACAGCAGTGCAATTTCATTCTATACTTCATGTGTTGCAATAATGGAATGAAAGTAGCCCTCTATCCCGGAATTTTCTATCCCTCTGCATTGTTTAGTGTATTCCAATTTATGAATCAAGAAGACGATGTTAGCTAAAAGAAGGGAGGAGAATGCTGCTTTTTGGGTGGTGGGGGGGGATGCCAAGCTATTTAGCTTCATCCATGGCATTTACTGATGCATCCTTCCTAAAATTTCAATTAAATTTACTCCATCCTACACAAAAGGTGTACACAACACACAGGGCTAAACTATCGTCACAAAGGATCGCTGGTCATTTTAACCAGTGGGACTTAAAACAGAGCCAAATAAAAGCACAATGAGATACAAAATTACTTGAAATGTTTTTTGAAGGCTGGAAACTGATCTGCTCCTTCTTCAAGAATAATTAAACACCAAGGATGGTTTGCTGTGTTTTTGAAGCAACAGAGAAAAAAATCTGTACGGCAGAGTTTCACATCCCTATTCTTGGTTCATGCATGTACTTCTGAATGACTCCCCAAGAAGAAAAAACTCAAGGGATAATACAGTTGTTTTTGTTTGTTTTAGTTTTGCTTTTGTAACTTGCTATAGGGCACACATGTGCTACCCAGGGTGAGGCAGAGCAAAGAGAAGGAAAATGAGAAAGCACCCTCCCCCAGGGGGTGGAGGGGTGACCATGCCACATTCCCTTCTCTTCTACTGTCCTCTCAAGATTTGGGGTATGTACACACACACGGGCCTGGAGAACCTTCCAATCTGCTGAGTCTGGGACTCAAACCATGTTGTTGTCCTTGTAAGATCCACTTGATTTAACCACCATAACACTGACTGACTCAAGGAAAATAGAGTGTTTTTTAAATAATTATTTTAAAATTTCCATTTATTATTTTTTAATTTGACCAGAGAGCCACACAGAGAGAGAAAGGGAAAACAAGAAAGCAAACCACCAGGTCCAGAACTTGAACCACCATTGACCACATGTGAATCCAGCATCTTTACCCACCATGCCACCTGCTGGCCCCAGGAAAATAGAGTTTGAAAGATTCTTCTTCGACATGTCAGGTGGACATTCAACCTCTAAAAATTAACATTAAGATCCAACCATGGTGCTGGAAATCCTAACAATGGCCACTCTGAGTGGAGAAGGGATGCTGACTGGGAAAGGGAACAAAGGGACTTTCAGGGCTGCTGAAATGCTCCACATCTTGTCTAGGGAATGGGTAAAACAACTGTATGTGTTTGTCAAAATTGATTAACTGTATACTTAAGAACATTGCATTTGACTGCAAGTAAATTACACCTCAATTAAAAAATATATTCCCAGGAAACATTAAAAAATAATAAGATTCCAAGCACAGAATGCCTTTCAGAATTGTCTTGACATATCGTTGTAAGGCAAATAAGCAAATAAAAAGAATGCCTTTGGCTGTGTGTTTGCATAAATGCTGAAGGATTTCTGGTACCCCACATCTGCCTCAGCACCACACTTTACTAGGATATTACCATGCACAGTTTATTGTTGTGAGAGGAAGGGAAATAATGCTGAGAATGCAATTAACAGCTCTACGCTAAATTGCAAATTCCGGCTAAAACTCTGGGTCAGGCATTCCCATCACATTCCCCATGATGACACAAGGGACCATGGGACTTGCCAGCCATACCCGAAATAAAAGTCCCAGCTGTGGTCTACAGCATAAAAGGCCGAGTGTAGGAAAGCCTCTTTCTATAAAAGATGTGTATGTTGCATTTTATGATGATGGAATATCCAACCTGAAACACAGATACTCAGAGACACAATTATTTGAATACAAAAGGATTCCTTTGAATTGTCAAGTGCTATCCTATATTTTACAATCATTCTGGTCAGGGAATTTCTTGTTTAATATAACTATCCATTGAATTGAGTGGTAGGTTATCTGTTTCCTCTTTTAAGAACCAATGAACTCTGGAGTTTTTTTTTTTTTTTTTTTGCCTACCTTAGCTTTCACAATTAAGTTACACGCTGTCTTATCAAGTTAGATATGTTTGTTTCTGTAAAACTAATAATTGCAAATACTGACATATAAGTGTTGGGTTAAAGAAGTTAAAAGTACAGACATATACAAATACATGTATGTACTGAACATAAACATACAAGAAGGAAAATTTGAAAACGAATCAATTTCATGAATTTGAGGCATTTTATTGGTAATTTAGGTTCAATATTAAGGCAATATTTTTCATTAAAATATTATGAATGTTTCCCTTGAAGTGTTTTATAAAAAGGTCAACTGAGTGCATTTTAATATTTTCACACAAATGTTTAAAATACCACTTTGATTTTTTTACTTTTTTTTTTTTGGAGAGTTTTTGCTATAGGGTGCGTGCGCTCGCCAAACAGACAGAGAGAGACAGAGAGACAGAAAGCGAGAAATCACTCCCCCAGGGGGGATGGTCACGCCACAATCCCTTCTCCTTCACTCTCCTCTCGGGATCTTAGGCACGCATGCACATGCGCCCGGCGTGAGTTCTAAGCCACCGGGTCCAGGATGCGAACCGCGGTCGACTACGTGGGAGTCCAGCGACATAGCCATTACGCTAACTGCTGGTTCCCTAAAATACCACTTTTATTTTTTTTTTAAGAAAAGTTAAATATGGTGAATTTTCAGAGCATTGTTTTTCTCAAATATAATCATAGCCCATTTTGATGACACATAGATTTGTAAGGTAAAAATATTCTCAAATTGTTTTACAAGACAGTTTCTGTTTCATTCCTTTGAACTTCTAAAAAGGAAACTCTAAAAGCTATTACAACACATGAAAAAGAAATAAACTGTATTAAACTGATCATGTACTTTTTTTGGTGTACAATTTTCTTCTACTTTTCTGCTTCTCTTTTCTTTTTCCTTTTTTTTTTTTTTTCTTTAGGTTTTTGCCATAGGGTGGTGTGTGCTCACTGGAGAGTCAGAGTGAAAGTGAGAAATCACCCCCATGGGAGGGAGGGATGGCCATGCCACAATCCTTTCTCCTCCATTCTTCTCTCAGGATTTTGGGCACATGTACACAGGTGCCCAGTGTAATTTTCAAGCCGCCTGGTCCAGGACTGGAACCATTGTTGGCCATGTGAGAGTCAAGTATCTTAACCACCATGCCATCTGCTGGCTCCTCTATTTCTATTTTAAAAATCACTGTAGGCCCAGGTGCAGTGGAACGGGCAGTAGGGGTACTGCTGCAGGATACTGGAGGCCATATAGAAAAGTTCCAAGTATATTTACTCAGAACACAGAAGCTGATCCCGGCTCGCTGCAGGACTGTGGGTGGGACTGTAGTGTGAATACCCTGTTGAGAGTGCCTGTCTTTTTCTCCTTCCTCTCTATTTCCAAGGAAGTAAATAAATAAACTTTAAAAATCAGCATAAATGTATTTTCAAAAGTGAATATATTAACACATGACACTGTTCTAAAGGATTTACTGTAAATACAAAAATACTTTTACTGTATGGGAGAATATGAATATGACAACACAGCTCTTTTCATGAAGACTGTCATAATCTACATCTGAAAAGCTCTTTAACTAGCAT